AGGGAGAGTTGAACACCTTTCGACGGGATGGGAATGTCGTTGATGAACAGGATGTACAGCAGAGGAGCAAGTACTGAGCCCTGAGGGACACCAGCCTTGATAGTTTGCTGTGAAGATAGCGTGCCTTCGTGTCTAAAACGAAAGGTACGATGCTTTAAGTAAGAGGCCACGAGACGTACTAGACGATCGGGGAGACCTATTTTGCACAGCTTGTAGATAAGGCCTGTATGCCAGACTCTATCGAAGGCTTTAGCTATGTCGAAAAAGACCGCGATGGTCTTATGACGACGAGGATAAAAACCGCTGAGGATATATTCCACAATACGGTGAACTTGTTGGGGACATGAGTGTTGGGCTCGGAAACCGAATTGATGGGGAATGATAAGAGGGTCACCGTCTGTGGGAAACAGATAGCGCCTCATACGAGTTTGGATGACTCTTTCGAGGAGCTTGCCCATTGCCTTGAGGAGGCTAATGGGGCGATGACTGGAGGGGAGGTTGAGAGGCTTGCCTGGCTTAGGAATACCAATCACAGTTGCCTCTTTCCACGTAGTGGGAAAGTAACTAAGGTTGAAGCAGGCGTTGAAAATAATAGATAAAAAGGTTAACACCTGCTCAGGAAAGTGTTTTAGGGCTTGGTTGGAGATGCCATCTGCGCCCGGAGCCTTTTTAGGCTTAAGTCCTTTGATGAGGGATGAAATCTCATCATTGGACACAGAGATAGGTTCGGAGACTGTAGGGGTGAGTTCCGGCGGCGGACCTCATCCTACACTGCCTGGACGTGTGAGGGGACGACGGGTTGAGAGCTAGGAGAGCATTGTGCGGCAATTCTATCTGCAAAGCACTCAACCTTTTCCTCGTCCTCGAAGGCAACCGTACCGTCGGGACGGGAGAGAGGGGGAGTGTGGGTGATAGCGTCTATGCGGTGGGCTCTAGCCATCTGATAGTACGCTGTATGAGATGGAGAGATATTCTCCATGAGTTTACTCTTTTCGAGGTCTCGAAATTCAGAGAGGCGGAAACGGAGTTCTCGTTGAAGACGATTGGCCGTGCGCCTATATTCGGGGGTGGGATATTTTGCTGCTCTCCGGAAAGCAGCTTTTTTGGCTTTTAATAGGTTGCTAATATGTAAGGGAAGCCCACTATTGTTAGCATCCGGGACGACTCTTTCGTTCTCCTTAAGGGAGGATTTAATAAGGGTGGAGAGTGAGTCGACCGCGGTGTTGATTTTTTCGGGTCTGTCTAAGTCCGACGGTAGGGAGATGGTAGAGTCCTGTGAGTCCAGAGCTTTACCTAGGGACTCCTTGAATCCCTTTCAATTAGTGAAGGTTTTCGTGTGTGTTGGGGGAGGCGGCTGATGGCCAAGAATTAGGGAGACCGGTCGGTGATCGGATCCCAGATCGTCTAGTGTCTCGATTGCTCTGAGGTTGAGAGAAACTCCTTGGAATAACGCAAAATCTAGTACATCGGGGGCGTGATCGGTGTTATCGGGAAAGTGAGTAACACCGAGGGGACTATGGACGGTAATATCAAGAGACTGCGTGATATCGAGCAGTATCTTGCCACTAGGGGACGTAGTACGGCACGTCCATTCAGTATGCTTGGAGTTAAAATCTCCAAACATAATGACTGAATTGCCTATAGATAAAATAGCCTCAAAATCTTTTTTGAAGGGATGGGTTCCTGAAGAGATGTAACAGGAGGCTATGAGGATGGACTGATGTCCAGTCATAGCTAGCCTGCATACCGTGGCTTCCATGTTGGTAAGCTGCGGAGTAGAAATGGGCGAGCAGTGAAGTGTCTTCTTGTAATAGATGGCCGTTCCGCCGCCTCGGCGGTCGGGTCTGTCATTACGAAGAAGAGAGAAGTTTTTAATAGAAAGGCCTTTAGTGTCCTTAGTTTTGAGATTAGTTTCCTGTAGGAGGAGGAAATTGGCTTCACGATTCCGAAGAAAGAGCTTAAGCTCTGGGAGGTTATTTCGCAAACCGCGAATATTAAAGGTACAAGCGATAAACCCTTAGGTTTGATACGACCGTGAGACTTTGGTAGAGCAAACTGCTCTGTCATTGAAGTTAAGTTAATTAAGTTAACTTAACTTACAACGAGCACAAAAGATTATGATGCTCTGTAAGAGCGAGGAGACGGTCCTGAGGGGACCTCGCAGCGCGCAATTTGCGTGCTAACACCGCGAATTCGCTAACTTCGATGTTCCTAATAGCGGAATAAATCGTTTCTAGGTCTTCAACAGTGGGCTGCGATTGTTGATGCTGTGGGGCGGCGGTTGTCCGCGGTGGGTTTGCCTTATTGGGGCCCCAGGGAAAGACTGGAGGCTGCATAGACATTGAGAATCCCGGAGGGGGCCGAATAATGCCCTGAGGGGGGCCTGGGGGGACCCTGAGGGGGCCGAGGGAAGCCCTTGATGGGCTGAGAAGGGCCCTGCCGGGGCTGTTGGTAGAGAGCCGGGAATGAGCGGTCATTAACCGGCGGTGGAGCTTGTCTACTGGGGCGAGGGTGGGGTGCGCAAGGGCAGCCTCTGTAGTTTGCCGGGTGGCCTGTTTGTTTGCACAGGACACATGCGGGTGGGGATTCGGCGTCTTTGGGCCGAGGACACTCTTTGGTGTTGTGGGGTTCGAGGCACTTAACGCACCTGGGTGGGGCGGAGCAGTTGGCCGCCGCATGGCCATATAGCTGGCAGCGGTGGCACTGCGCCGGAAATCCGCGCCTATGTGGAGGCTCAACCTTCACCTCCGACAGGCCACACACCGTGCGTACCTGCTGGAAGATGGCTTTTGCCTCCGGCAGGTTGGTTAGGATGAAAAGGGCTAGGTAGAACCTCTTGCCCGTTCTACTGTGCATTTTGTGCACGGCTTCTACGGGGAAACCTTGGGACTTGAGGTCCTCAAGGGTTTCCTCGTTAGAGAATTCAAAGGGGACGCCTCGGATGACGGCCCTGACTTTACGCTCTTCCGGAAGAGCGTACGTGTGATACGAAACTCGTTCGGCTGTGAATAGCCTGGTGAGTTGACGGAAGTCCTCGATCGACTTGGGGATGATTTTAATAGCCTCCCCGAGGTTGATGGCATGGTCGTATTTGATGCCGGCGTCGTAACAGGTTTTCGACATTTGTGTGAATCGAGCCTTGTCTCTTAAGAAGACAGGGGGCGGGACTTGTTTCTTGGCAAGGACTGGAGCACATCGAGTTGGTTTGTTCGGAGTTGGGATGTCTAGTGACAAGAGTGGGATCGCGGCAGCGGCAGGGGCTGCGGGGGCAGAGGTGGCAGCGGGGGCTGCGGAGGTTGTAGAAGCGGCGGGGGCCGCTGAGATAGGGGGTGCGTTTTATCGCGGCGCGCTTACCGTTGTGCTTGGAGTTCACTGTGGTGAATGTAGACTCCCCGGTTCCGTCGGAGTCACAGGACTCCGATGAGCCGGTGCCTGAAGTGGTGGCGGGCCTCTTCCGGGAGGCCGGCGCAGAGGACTCGGAGCATGCGTACTCCATCTCTAGGGGGGCAAAAGACTCTAGGGGGGCAAAAGAGTTCCTTGTTTCTAAGTATGTCGCGATTACGGGCGGCGGTTGGAGTGCCTTAGGGGCAGGGGGACGAGCCTGGGCGGCGATGGTGGCGATGGCGGCGGGGACCGTCTCATCGAGGTTTATACCATGTTGGTTTAAGACGGCGGTGATGGACTTAGCTATGCTATCTGTGGCCATTTTGGGGCAGTAGATCTAAAACGGTAGCGATTGGGACGGGTCCCTGTTCTCAGTAGAACAGGGACTTGAACACGAGACGTACTACGAGACAATACACGTATTATAATAATATTAGAAAAACAAAGAATAACAAGAAAAATAACAAAAATCAACAATATAGTATAACAGTAAAAATAACAATAAAGATAACAGTAAATAACAGTAAAAAGCCCGAGGACAGGGGGGCAAGAACTGTTAGCGGTGAAAGACTCACCGGTGCGTCGGCGCTGTACAGCGAGAGCAGGACAGCGGAGGCGCGAGAGCGAGAAAGCACTACCGTACAAGGACGAGAGCGCGGACTACCTGGATGCGACCGCTCGAGAGCGATGCCACAGGCGGAATCTGATTGCCGTAGAAAATAGTGTCCCAGAAATATAGACACCATAAGTGAGGCGCTGCGATCGCTAAGTTTGGTCAATAAAAGTCATTTTCAGTTTTTTTTTCCGATCAGATGCTAGACCACTTGCACATCCACCCACAATAAATTATTTCTCCATTTTCCAATGTTTCTTTTTGTCAAAAATTACAAAATTACGGTGCATAAAAATTTTCTCACCAATGCCGTGGAGAAAATTTGTACATTATTCGACTAACTTCATCTACTTGTACTGATAAACAGCTAACTTCGCAGTCAGTACTCACCGACGTCAGCGCCACTATGTATTCTACATTTTTCAAGGACAGGCGGGCTATGCTTTAGTACGTAGTGATCGTTATCCTGTTCTCTAACCTTCACGGTTGCAAGCCTGCCTGCCAAGCTTGTGACAACTATGGCAAAATACTCCCTAAGGTAAGGCGTCACATAGACTCTCGACTAGAGTTCCACTGGAGTGTTACGTTAGTTACTTCTAGAATTTTCATAAAAATTGGAAAGTCTTACAGAGGCGGTGCAAGAACATCCATTACCCCACGTAATCCCTTGAGAGTCGTAAGAAGCGACAGAGAGAAACTGAAACAGGATATGGACAGCAACGTCCTCCTGTTAACAACTAAAACAAGCTGCTATTGCCTACTCGTCTGCCATGCGTGGCAACTATGGCAATCATCCAGTACCGTAAGATCCTATTGAGGAAAATTGAAACATGAGATGGGCAGCAGCAATGAAAACTACCGTAGCCAGCTCGCCTGCCAGGCGTGGCAACTATGACAAATAACCGCGTTTTGAGGCTCCTGTGTAAATCAGTGAACTTTGATAGGCTGTAAAATTGATGATTATGATGAAACATGAAGTATATTTACTAATATTTTATTTCAGTTGTTCTACTACATCTGCGCATACAGCTTAAATCAGCTACTGCTCCGCAAAGATCTCTGCTGCTGGGCCAAGGGTCTGCAAATCCGGTACAACATCTCACATCTCGAGACCTGGATTAAAGAGCACCTCGCCGAGTATGGACAGAAGAGCGTAAGTACCTTTAGTATTTAATACGAAGTGTGGTAATTAATATGTAAAAAAGGACCATAATATTTTAACAATATGTCCTCTAGACTAAATTTTTATCACGGCGGCCAGTCTCAACGGAAATTAGACACATGCGCAGGCCAGGATTTTGGTGCCCAAGTACTCCAGCACGGGTGCCCTTTCTATTCCTTCACTCTTATAGTCTGATCGGAAGGTAACTGACAGGACCGGAAAGAGATCAGGCGTAGCTCTATCGGCTTTACGTACGCCAACTTTCTAACTTCGGCTGCTACTAAAAATTTCTTGACAGAAAAACTCAATAACTGTTTGACCCAACCAGGATTCGAACTTGGGACATCATTATCAACAGCAGCTTGTATGACCACTAGACCAACGTGTCTATCAAAGGACCGTCTCATCTGTGACTTGAACCGACAAAGCATCCACAAAGCAATTCAATAAAAAGAATAATACTAACATCAACTTTGAAGTGGCAGTTTGGGGGCGTCCATTAATTACGTACAATTCGCGGCTCGTAAGTCTAGCGCTGAACGAAACGTGGAGGGGATAGCTGCGAATAACGTATTAGTACGCCAATAGCCGTAGCCGTACGCAAGTAGCAGCAGCCAATCTGCGCGTGCGAACGATGCGCGAGCCCGCCCCGCTACCCGCTTACTGCCCCATGATACCTTATTTTCGACTTATGCGCAATGACGGTCACCGCTAGACTATCGTGCCGCCACATGTAAGGTGTTTAGGGTGGCCAAGCTGAATTTCATCCAATCTCACGTGGAAAGACGGAGATTTTCGGCAAATATCACGTAATTTTTTCGACAAGAAACAGTGTGAAATTTATATAATATTGGGTTAAATTAAGTAAAATATCGCTAAATCCTACACAAAAATATTTAGGTTATGCGAACTCACCCCAAATTCAAAAACAATTGAGCAAATATTGTTTTTTTAAAACCCAACACAATCTGTGAACGTATTTACACTAAAAATATGCATTTTAAAAATCTCACTTGGGGTTTTGCAGAGGACGAGCTATATCTCACTGGGGGGGTAGAAATATCGCCAAAATCGTGTTACGTAATTAATAAGAATATCCACTACCCCATATCGCCCCGTTATTGTCGTAAGAGACGACTGAGGGAAGTAAACCAGGAGACGAGTAGCATCTTCCTAACTACAACTAAAAAAATAAAAAACAGCTGTTGCTCACCTGCCCAGCAAGCGTAGCATCTATGACCGTTATACCCCCTATAAGGCAATCTATGGTAAAAGGCCTATGTCCTAAGTGGACTTTTGATAGGATGTGTAACGGTTACAATATTAACTAATATTAATGTTAGTTGGTAACATTTGTTTGCTTAACAAATGTTACCAACTAACATTAATATTAGTTAATATTTTATTAATGCAGGGTGGATGAAATGGCGACAGGTCACAGCCACAACGTGCGATCCCCGAATGCAAATAAGGCTGAAGGGGAAAATTTACAAATCGACCATCCGACCTGTCGTCATGTATGGAAGTGAATGCTGGGCCGTCAAGAAGAAGGATGAAAATAGATTGCATGCGAATGAAATGAGAATGTTACGATGGATGTGTGGTGTGACAAGGATGGATAAGATAAGGAATGAGTATATAAGAGGAAGCCTGAAAGTAGCGCCAGTGGTAGAAAATGTGAGAGGAAGCAAATTGGCATGGTTTGGGCATGTGATGCGGAGGGATGAAAGTCATGTCACAAAACGAGTGTTGAATATGAATGTGAAGGGACACACAGGCAAAGGAAGGCCGAATAAAAGATGGATCGATTGTGTGAAGAGTGATATGAGAATGAAAGGAGTAAGTATGGAAATGACGGCTGATAGAGAGGAATGGAACAAGAAGATTTACTGCGCCGACCCCAGATAATGGGAAATGGTTTAGAGAATGATGATGGTAACATTTGTTTGCTAGGTCGAAGAGATCCTTGGTGTACTGAAGCCCATCACTCAGGCGGTACAGTTGCTGCAAGCGCGCAAGTCTATGATCGACGTGGACAGCACGGTAGAAATGTGCGCCGATCTCACCGCCATGCAAGTTTGTAAGGTAACTGAAAATTTCAAATTCAATATATTCATCTTATCACTTTTTCTTTATATATATACCCGTCTGGGTTGGATAAACGAACATGCTATTCCGAGTATCCACCCTGGTGTGGATAAACGAACATGCTATTCGAGTATCCACCCTGGTGTGGATAAACGAACATGTATTCAGACCCTGGTGTGGAAACGAACATGTTATTCCAGTCCACCCTGGTGTGGATAAACGACATGCCGAGTATCCACCCTGGTGTGGATAACGAACATGTTCAGTATCCACCCTGGTGTGGATAACGAATTATTCGGTATCCACCTGGTGTGGGATTTCCAGTTCACCTGTGTGGATAAACGACATGCTATTCCGAGTATCCACCCTGGTGTGGATAAACGAACATGCTATTCCGAGTATCCACCCTGGTGTGGATAAACGAACATGCTATTCCGAGTATCCACCCTGGTGTGGATAAACGAACATGCTATTCCGAGTATCCACCCTGGTTGGATAAACGAACATGCTATTCCGAGTATCCACCCTGGTGTGGATAAACGGAGTGACCCGATGCATATACACTTCCCGACCAAGCCCTCTCAATTTTTTCTGAGTGGCCAAAGATGTATTTTCTAGAGTTATCGTAATGAAAGACCACTCCTTTCGTTTTTTGTCAATTTCTTGCTTGAGTCTCATTCATTAGTTGTTGGCAGAAAAGATCCGAATCAATGGTTTTGGTAAAAGCTCATAATAAACGAAGCCCTTTCAATCCCACCAAACACACAGTACCACCTTATTGCGTGTTAATGCGGGTTTCGCTACGGTCTGTGGAGCTTGTCTACACTTTAACAATGATCTGTTTTGCACATTCTTGTCGTCAGTGATCCACTTTTCATCACCAGTACAATCAGTCTTTTCAAAAATGGTTCAGTTTCATTACTTACCAATAGAGAAACACAAAGAGTACATGATTCATTAGGTTTCTTTCATTGAGCTCGTGTCAAATATCTAAGCTCCAAATATCTAGCTTTTTTGTTTAGCCAGACTTTTCAAATAGGTCAAAACTGTTTTGTGGTCAATACTCTGTTCCTCAACTATCTCGTAACTACTAATATACTGATCTTGCTGCATTTTTTCAAAGATGGCATCTACTTTATAACCGCATGTGAACGACCAGAGCGATTTGCATCTTTGACATTAAAATTCCCAGACTAATAACGCTTGAACCAACTTTATGCTACTCTTACTGACACTGCATTAGGACCATAAACGTCACAAATTTTTCAGCGGCTAGAGTCGTATTTTTCCCTTTTTCTAATAACTAAACGTATCGAAATTATTCGTTAGGTTTACTTATTTTGGATGAAAAACAATTGAAAAATGACGGGAACGTGTTTTTACTTTTTATTTTTGTTTTTCTTAATGTCGTGTATGTATTGATATTAAAACCAGCCAGTTAAAAACAATACAATCAAAAAGATTTGTCTTCAATTTTATACAAACTAGATACGAAGAAACTTTCCCCGACATATTACAATCAATAAATCCGCATATTACTAGAGGACCAGTGTCCATAAGTATTTAAATTAAAATTTAATGTTGTAATAAAACGACCCACATTAATAAGTACAGAGAAAAACAAACTGAACTACTTAGTGTTCTATCCTTCTTTGTTAGTCTGAAATTAATGTTAGAGTCGGCTCGACCTGGGAAGGACCTCAGATAACCGGCATAAAATACCAACTTTCTACGTCTGTGTTTCGTATGGTATTTGTAGAGAAATGTGACCCTTTTTATTGGAAATGAGGCTTCCCATCTTAGCCCTTAGGGGTGTATTTTTTTTGCGCCCGAAGCAAATATGGGCAACCCTCCGGAAAGCGGGGGAGGGAGGTTGAGAATGCTCATAGCATACCACGCAGCCGGCTGCGTGGTTATGTAGTGACTCTTACCCACTAAACTCAACCTTTTAGGAATTGGCTTAACGATCTGACTAGAGATCTCTAAGCCGTATACGAACGCGACCCTCCTTGGCAGAAAGGAGGGCGCCGCAGGGGTGTAGTGGCATTTTAATTCTTAATCAAAAAAAAATTCTAGTCTATAGACATCCAGTGACTTTTACTGTATGATCGTTTATTATTCTATAAAAATCTAAATATACTATTATTGAATGAAAGTTGTTCCAGATCTGTACGTTTGTCCAGAAATTTATGTATTTTAAACGCCTCCATGATACATGGTAAAATGCTACTGTAGTTTTTTTTTATATAAAAAGCAAAAGATACAAGATATATGTAATATTTATCACTCACAGATTTTGAACATGTACACACCAGCCGAGGAGTACGAAGTGAAGGTGACGCGTGAGTTTATACACGAAATACAAAAGAAGATGCAGGAACGCGCCGGTCCCAAGGCTAGCAAGGAATCCGTGAGTGTCATGTCATTATGTGATTGTCAAGATAGAATTTTACCAGAAAACATAACAGGCCTGTGCCTAGCTGTGGAACGTGTACTAGTCTATAACTTTAACATAAATTTTTTTGAGGTCGTTTTCATCAGCTCGCAAAAGTTCCATGTTCACAACTGGACGTTGGCGTCTCCCATTGTAGTCAATCTTTTAGGTTTTCTTTTTGCGTCAAACGACTCGATGACAGGGAACACGCAGTCAGCCATCCAGGACCTGCTGTTGCTCCATGCAGGTCATTCGATTTCAACAGAACTCATTGCCTTAAGCTTCTACCTATACTGCTTGGACGTTACTAAGTCAAGTGGGCTGCATGGAATCCCCCTAATTGTACTGAAGACGTGTGCTCCAGAGTTGGCAGCGGTAATTACGCGTCTATTCGATTAATTTTTAAAGCAATTTTACGAACTCGTGAAAAATATCTTTAGTACACCTATTCTATATTATATATCCTATTCCTTTAAGCTAGAAGTAGAACTAGAAGTAGTAGAGAAACTAGAGTAGAATTATATATAGACCTATCGATATACCTTCTCTTTCTTCAAAAATAATGGAATCTGCATATATATTAATAAATCATGGATTATCTAACTGCAGTGTGAAGGCGGCGAAAGAAAATCTCCATCAGCCCTTTTGTCCTATGGCTGTCGTAAGAGGCAACTATGCGAAATGTCAGAAAAATATATGGCTTCTTCGACAATTTAAAAAAAAACCCTACATCGGGGAGGCTTACGTTCAGCTGTGACCTTTCACGGCTAGTGATGAAGAAGAAACTATCTAAGACATTATTACTTGTTTTCAGCAGAGTTTGCTAATGGATTCGAAGATGATATTCTCAGTTCAGTTCCCGTTCAATCCGTCATCCATCCGGCTAGAAGACATCGAGGTGCCTGAAGTCCTCGAGCTGGACGGACTCCTCACGAAGATTTAAGCTTCTTGTTATTATAACATATAGTTTTCTTCATTGATTGCTCATGCGAGGTGTAGACCTACCGGTGTTGGCTCTTTGTATTCGTTGATTACGATCGTTGTTTAATTTATAAAAAGAGTCGGAATCCTTGAGTCGATTTCATTGTGCATGATTCTGGAATGTACGAATGAATGCGGCTTTAAAGTTTTATCTCGATAACTTGACCCGACCACAAAAATTGGTAATCCTGAAGGATTACCAATTTTTCACAACAAATACCGTAAGGCATGTAGATAGGCGGGGATATTATAAACTCCGAACGCTTTCTACGTTTTAACTTTTGAAAACCATATTCAACGTTTATAGGTGTAAATACTTTTCCTTTTTTATAGACAAGTTACTTTCTAAATGTTTTATAAATTGTAGTTTCGTTTTAATTTTGTATAGTATTATATTCATGGTAATTAAATCATTTACAATTTTTTTTGTTGATATAAATAATATTTATTTAGAAAATATATAATATCCCTTTAGAATCATGTTATCTATTAGATGTATTCTTACTTTTAATTTGTTTTGTGTACTTAATTAGAAATCTCGTTCTTCCCTTTAAGTACAAGTAGGTTTAGTTATATGTTCTGTTTACAGATGTTGTAAGATTAAAACTAATATTTAAATAAATTTATTGAAATTCAGTTATAGTTTCAAAGCAACGAGCTGTTCCATGATTAGTGCATAATATCGCGTGAATAAATGGTTAAGAGTTCCTTTGTTGATCGCGAGACTAGTGTATCGGGTTATAGAGTAGACATTTGTAGGTCTACACAATAAATTAAAAAGTATAAACATTCCAATATAAACGAAGTCTTGCCGTATAGCATTTCATTGTATTATATTCCAATACACTCCTAGTTATGCCATATCGTATTTACAATATTGTGTGCCATTGATTTTTTATATTTATTTTGAGAATGTACAAATTTTATTATGGACAAAAGTTACTGTTTATTATCTGTATATAATCGTCGGTGCATCTGTTAGTGATCGTGTAACTTCTGAGCAACTTAAGCGATTGAGGTCATATTGACAAGATGTATTTATTTTGTCGAGACGATGGTTCTTCGTTATGTTCGGATCCGCTAGGTGGCGCTGTAGTCAAATTATAAATAAATTTTTTGTAGATCAAAATAACTCGTATTCACAATAAATGTTGGTTTAGTTTCAAAAAATCGCTAAATCTAGACAAGATTGATTGCTTTCGAGTTTTGGTCGAGTAACTAATATATTTTATATTTACATTATAAATAGACCAGAGTGAAAACGAAGTGTAACACGCCTTAAGGAAAGGGCAGCAAAATGTCTACCGGGCCACCTGGTGTTGTAGAACTTAAAACTCGATGCTTGTTTAATTTATTAAATAATCATATATTTAATATCATCTTAGGCAATGCTCATTTATAATATATACTTGTATGAGTGTGGGTAGAAAAAGATCCAACATTTGTGAAAATCTTTGAACTGTGAATGTATTATTTAGTATTTACTTATATATAGGGCTTAGATTTGGTCTTCATACTCTAAACTCAGACGGACAAAGTAAGAAAGCCACGTTGCGTTCATTTATAGTGACGCAAAAACTATGCTCAATTTCTTTCGCACTCAAGCACACATCCATCATTTTGCTTGTTTTACCATCTCATAGAAGTTCACTGTTGGACGCACATACGCACATTAAAATGTTGCAAATTATTTTAGACACATATGTTCACGTGAATGCGTGTTTTTTTTTTTAGATAAGTTAAGCATGGTTGTTGTATCACTAAAATTGTACGCAGAGTTCTTTTACTGTTCTCGGTCTGTGACTCTAAACCATAATATAAAATTAATAACCACTTAGTGAATGATATTTCTAATTATTAAGCTTACGTATAGTAAGCTTAATAATTAATCGTCGCATTTGAATGATTTGTACTTAATTAAAATAAAATCGACGTTATTTCATCTGAACCATAATGCGGTTTTAATATCGGTATGAATAATCAATCAATAAATTGGAACGCATAATGGATAAGTATTATTATTTTTAGATTACTGTTTCCACCAGTATAATACGGCCGACGTATCTTGGCGAGTCTGAATATAGGCTCTGCGAAGTTTAGCGCATGAACACTCGTGAAGAAAACTGTTATTGTCATTTTTTTATATATACCAATGTACAAATAAAATTTCCCTAATACAGTGACCAAAAATATCAAAACACTTTGGAGACATTATAAATTAAAGATTCAATTTTGATACCTCACCTTTCGATAGGGGCAGATTTTATCACAAACACATACAATATTATTTACATTAAATACTTTTTATTTATTTACACTTATTATTATTTAATCACTGTCGCTGAGGGGGGAAATTCCTAACATAAAGTCGTCGGCCCCTTGTGTACCATGTGAGGTACTTGGCATAGGTTCATCTTCGTAATCGTCGCTCTCACTTTCAGACTCACTTTCTGAATCTGAAGCTGTATTAATGATGAATAATTGATCCGTCATTTCGTCAATAATATGGTCGCTCTTCCTATAGTCATGTTCGACCTCTTGCACTTTTCTGCATAAAGCACTCCATTCATTCTGACCCATTAAATTTACTTTTTCTTGTATGAGCTCCATTGTCCGGGTTACGTTCCAGTCGACGTTTTTAGCGGCTACGTGCCCTTTAATGGCAGCCCACACCATCTCGATGGGGTTTAAATCGGGATGATATGGGGGTAAACGAAGGACATCGTGGTTGTTTTGTTTAAACATTTCATCTATTACGTATTTTTTATTCACGTCTTTGTTTTTTTTTATTAGATCGTAAAGTTGTGGTTTACGCATGTCCTTTTCATATGGTATACCCTTTTCTAATAACCACGATTCCATTTTTGCCTTCTTGTCATTAGATGTAGGGGCAGGATCCATTAATTTGTTGTGGTACGGAGCATTATCGATAACCACCACCGAGTTAGGGCTCAAATTTGGAATCAGTTGGGTCCGTAACCATTTCTCATAATTTTTGAAATTCATGTCATCATGATAGTCTCCGGTTTTGCTGCCAGATTTGAACATTAGTAGCGCGTTCGGAACAAACCCTGCTTCTGACCCAGCGTGTACCATCACTATCCGCTGACCTTTTGATATCGGGCGCTTTAGTCCTTGAGCGGAACCATCTGACCACGCCTTACCTTTTGTATGTGATGAGTGGGCATACGACTCGTCAGTGAATACAATTGGTCGCCCTTCGTCCCTGTATTTTTTCATTGCCTTCAAGTACAAGATCCTTTTCAGGCGAATGTCGGTCTTCTCTATAAGAACCATTCTATTGGTTTCGGTCTTTCGCCACTTGAAACCCAAGTTTTTGATAATTGTCTTTAAGCTCGTTTTACCACCTTGAAAATTTATATTCCGTTTGAGTTTCGCTAGTAATTTGTTTATCGTCGGCATTTCTTTTTCAGTTTTGTGGAAGTTGTGTATGCATCTTTTTTACTACTCCCTGGTCAAAATTATCCATATCAGTAATAGGTTTTGATCTAGACCTTTTTTTACCAGGCGTGCGGAATACTGAAAGTAAGCCCGAAATATTGCCTTCAGTTGCGATCCGCTGTACTGTGCGTTGGGACACACCAGTTGCGTTAGCAACTCTTAAATAAACTTTATCGACATCTTTTACGCCTTCTTCTTTTTCTTTTTTCATATATTGCGTTAAATCGTAAATAATTTTTCTCGCCTGGCGATTTAACACACTGTTATGTTTTGGTGGCATGTTTGGCGAATAATATAAGTGCTAACTGACACTTGCAAATAAAACAAATAAAACAAATAAAACAAACAAAACAAACTTAACACTATTAATAAAAACAAACAACAATAACAACGAAAACTTTTGTAACCGACTGTGCTCAAGACAGAGATAGCGACACGAACACGACACCAATGCTAACGTGTGACTGAGAAATATTACCGTGTACCGAGCATTGCCGAATAAGCACGAAGCTTTACGAAGTAACCAGAAAGGGATGTCCAACACGCGTGCCTGAGGGTGTTGTTTAATCGATTTTTATTCAAATCGATTAAAATTAAGACATAAAAATATATTTATTTGCAATTTATAAGGAGGTTCTAAATTTTCTCAAATAGTCGTTACTCAAGAAGACGTTAATAGATAATTGATATTTAAGTACATTATGTCTTTCAGCTGAGAAAATAATATGTTTTTAGTTTTTTTTTTCGAAATCTTGTTTATTATCAACAAAATTCACTATATTTGTAAATCTATTTCGTTTAATATCTTATATAAACAAAAATCAATAACTTCTAAATAAAACTAATCGATTGCGATATTTTATGACTAAAGGGTCGATTGTGTTTACTTATGGTCAATCTCTAGCCTAGACCACCGCCCCCCGTACGTCGCCTCATGCCACCATTTTGTTCCTTAAAAAAGCTATTGCGCAACCTTCTGCGCGAAGGTCGGACTCGCCAAGATACGTCGGCCGTATTATATATGCCTTTAGTTGTACATGTGTCCGCTCCAAGAAAACACTATGCCAATAAAAAAAAGAGTATTATAGGTCCCGATCGTAAAGTACTATTGATTACTGTCGACTAGTTTTGTTCGGGTTTACTAGATTTATCTCTCTCATTCAAAATTGACAGGCAAAATACAGGTTCTTACAGTCACTACAATCTTATTAAGCCTGAAATTTTAGTAAGGAAAGTTTAATTCCCGTTTATTTCACAGCTCTTTAAAGATATCAAACGTATAAATTCACTGTCCGAAGTAGGCGAAATTCTTTGAAAACTGTCTGTATTTTTTTTATTTTCGATATGAATATTCATAGCCGGATAATGTAATTTTTGGCTTCAAATAATGGAAGTGTATCGAAGAATTATCTGTTGATAGACTATAGCGCAACCATATACATAAAACATAAATTGTAACTGCACCATGCAAATATAACTAAAATCAGTGCAGTGCTTGTA